ATTTCACTGCAATCGTTGAAATCGTCGTCTGATGCATTGCGAGATTTTTCATAAATATGGAGACGAAATACATCGGAGTGTCATTCGCATTTAGCTTAGATAATTTAAACTGACAGTCCTAAGGTTGATACAGTTTCAGTGTCATTTCCAATATATTGGCGTAATTCACATAGTAATTCAGCTTTATATATCCATCTTAATATATTAGTAATTGCTGTACGTTCAAATGGTATTTTCAGGAAACTGCCTTGGTGGAGAAAAAGACTTTGCCTGTGGTGCTCGAAGCCCATGGGATATCGGACGATTCTAGCAGTACTCCGGACACATCTGATCTGCCGGAGAGTTACCTGGAAGATGACCGCTTAGCAGACAAAATTGGCGTCGCCTACGACCAGTGTCAGTTGAAGCCGATACTGAAAACGCAAAAGGCTACAGAGAAAAAGACGGTCAGATTCGACCCTTTAGCCCTTCTCTTAGACGCCGCTCTCGAGGGCGAACTGGAATTGGTCAAGCGATGCGCCGCCGAGGTTGAAAGTGTCAGCTGCTGCAATGACGAAGGCATCACGGCGCTACATAATGCAATATGTGCCGGTCACTACGACATTTTGCGTTTCCTGGTCGAAGCCGGGGCGAACGTTAATGCTCAGGACTCTGATGGATGGTATAAGAGTGTTTTATTAGTTTTTATAATTTTTACTTTTCACATTAGATTTAATTTGTGGAAAAAAACATGTGCTGACTGTTGTAATTGGACTCTCCACGCATATCCAGTGACAGATCAGTGGTCAGAGCGAGTGATCGCCTGTCAAAAGGATGTACAGTTCAGCATATGTTCCAGATTCACCATGAACTCTAAAATATTTGACAGGCAAGGCAGTGGTGATGAAGGATTGGCAGAACTTTATATCTTCAAAACGTATCTGAAGGACAAGGCAATGTTGTCCATAAATTACGTCTGCTGTTAGAGTCAAAGCAGAGTGATCCTATTATCTGTGGAATTAGTCACGGAGATGTACTTTCATCATTGCTATTCAACACTGTTTTCGAATTTTTCTCCAAAACAGTGTTGATTCTGGCGAAGATGAAAGCAGTGATGACCCTGGTGAATAGTACGTTGAACGAACCGTCTCACCTGATGACTTCCGTATGCAACGGCTGCTAAAGCTAGTCTCTTCCTTAACGCCTAGAAGTCAATAGTTGTGAGGAACCTATCTGACGCAGCTGGTCTACACGTGGAACTAAGAGGTTAAGCTCTTCACGAGATCGACCACTTTAAGAATCTTTGCTCCATCACCTCTAATGATGACACCATCCAGCCAGAGTTAATTAGAACAATCGCCCTGGCCTGGAATGCTGTTGGAAATTTGTCCAATATTTGGGCTGAGAAATGGGTAGCCTTTTTCACAAAAATGCGCCTCTGACAGCTTGGTGTTGTTGTGCGGCATGGGAGCTGTTGTTCTAGCGAAGAAGTAAGAACGAAGTAAATGTTGAACTGCAGACAGCAGCGCTGGTTTCAATTCATAATGATGGTTAACTCGCAGGATCACGTATGGAATGACTCTTCTGTTCCCAGCAGAAGAGACCTCGGGAGATGTGGAAATTAAGAGAAAGACGTTGGCCGCGTTAAGCAGCTTGGAGTGCATACACTCTTCACTACAGTACCCAAAACACGGCAGGCATGGACCAGGAGGCCATTATATAACATGAAGGAACACAGTGAACTAATCTGATTTCATTTCTGTATTTTTGCAGTACAGTAACCGGTGCCTTATGGCAAAAGTGTTGAAATGCAACGAATACAACGGACATCACAAACCACAATCTTTCCGCTTGTGCAAACTTTAAAAGGTGGTGATCTCAACAGACACGCACATTCAACATGCAAAG